TTTTTTTTTTTAAAGCAAACCATAAATTTCAGCCCAAGTTTAAGAATACATTTTGAAGTAATTTTCTCCTAGATATGGTAACTATGGAAAAGTTGAGGTTTTCTATAGGACACATCCCAGTAAAGCAGGTATTGGAAAGCACAGGATGTGAAACACGTTAGGATTCCACTGCTATGCACTTTCCGAGTTTATTTTCCAAGAACTATGTTTGTGTAAATAAGCTTAACACAATAGGTCAACTTTACAATCTACTTTCAATCAATCTCAAAAACTAAACCAAACACTCTGCAGCGGTTGGCATGGAAATGAATGTTCCTATTTGAAGATACCAATAAACTTGAATAGGTATTTCATTTGATACTTGAGAGTTAAATGGTAAACAAATGATTTCAGCTATGATAACTTTTCTTAATTCTGTTTTTAAATGGTACTGTTAAGGGCACTTCTTGAGAATTATGTTCTTAAAATCATGTAATTATAACAAATAGATAACGCAGGTTACCCTGATACTTTGCGATACAAGCAAATGTAGAACCAGGCGTTATCTACCCATTTCCCTAAGCATGACATGTACTATTACAAGCAGAGTATATTTAGTAAAATGTAAATGTCACTGGATATTATAAATAATTAGATTTCCAAGGGCTACAAAAGATAACAAACTCTAAACATTATTTAACAGTAGAGCAACATGAAGTATTTAGAGACTTTTAACCTGGGGTGGTCTCTGTAGGCACATGCATATTTTAAAAGCCAGTCTGATGAGCCACAGACCGAACGGTAACTCTAAGGGTGATATAATGTACCTCTGGAATCCTCTTTTACTCTCTTCCAGAATTGAAGTAACTAGGAAGTAAATAGCAGCTTTTATATGTGTTATCTAATGGTGGGATTCCAGGAAAAGTAAAAGTAGTGTGTATAACTTTTATTACAAATACATGGTTAGTCTTATACAACTGATTTTCCACACAAGATTGTGCAGTGCCTGTTCTAACTCTATGATGGAGCTGAAGCAAGGTAAGGCATTATAACAATTTCATTAGGGTATGAAATTCATATCATTAATGTCCTTGAGACAATAAATGTTATGAATGTAAATTACGTAAGTACAAGCTACATGCAAAGATTCATCTTCAGTGTTACCATCCTTCAGATTACGTTAGGGTATTTTGAAGTACGTGCCAGAATAACGAACTCCTGTGGATTTCTCAAAATGTGCTCTGGTTTATCCTTCGGTTATCAATGAATGCCATTGCTTATTTCCTTTAACTCCTCTGTGTGTCCTTCTACCTTTCTTTCTAGTCTATAATCTAAAGATGATGCCAAAATTAAAAAAAAGACTATTAAAAATACTAAACATCCAGAACTAACCATTGCCTCGGCTGCTCCCATGTGGTTTTATCAATGGAATGAAGAGTCTTTGAGAACAAATCCATCATTTGCCTCATAAAATAAAACAGGAAGAACCCTCCGGGGCAGAGTAAACTTATTATTTATCATCCAAATAAGAAATGTTTTAGGGGCAAAAGAGTCTTCTGTTAATAATCACATATGGGGGCGCCTGGGTGGCTTGGTCGGTTGGGCGTCCGACTTCGGCTCAGGTCATGATCTCACGGTCCGATGAGTTGACTCCGTCGGGCTCTGTGCTGACGGCTCAGAGCCTGGGCCTGTTCAGATTCTCGCGTCTCCCTGCTCTCTCTCCCTGTTCATGCTCTGTCTCTCTCTGTCTCAAAAATAAATAAACGTTAAAAATAATCACATATGAGCCCAGACCATTATATTCAAATCAGGACATCATGGTAAGTCAGCCTTCATGGGAGAGATTTCTAGGTACCCTTGGGAAACACGGAAATAGAAAAAAAAAAATTAAAATACAAAACTGATTTGCCACCAATGGTGAGTGAATAGCTTCAGTGAGCCGAAGAGCTCTGGGACTAGCAACAGTATCTGCTGGTATTATTGTATTCGATGAGAAGAGCTAGGCTGCCAGTTTGAAGAGCCTTAGACAACATGGAAGACCAGGTAAGAAGGGAAATGGCAATTCTGCAGGTATTGCCTGCCAGGCCAAATGTCTCATTCCAAAACCTTAACCCTTTGTTGCTAGGGTCACACAATGAGATAGTGAGGGAGAAAGGGGGTGGGGGGGGATTGAGTACTCACCAGGAGTTCCGTAGTGGATTCTCTCACTGGTTCTCCACTTAATAGTCAAAGACCAACTGGCCTCTGAAATAAGCTTTCCCAGTCTGTGGTCCCAGACAATCTGTGGCTGAATCACACAGGGTATGTGAGAAAAGAACACATTCCTACATCCCACCTGATATTCCCAGTTTGTCTAAAGTTGTACCTACTAAAATTTGAGTTTTACAGTGATTCCTCTTAGGTCAGTGCTATTAAAACATTAGACATCTGTTTGCTACTTTCACCATTTTTATCCTAAGAGCATAGTATTTGCAGATCTTATATGAACATGAACTAAACATAGGTTATGTTACTCTACTTGGTTTGTTACTGTTGCATAACATAGCCTCTCCTAACTAAATGCACACTTTACCTACTGTGCTTTGGGAAACATCCTCTTGGGTGAACACAGAGCATCAATAAGTCACTGATACTGCATTCTTTCCTATCTGTCACTAAGACTTACTTCAGAACTTATGTATAGCCAGTAAGAGATGTGCATACTGAGGACTAAGATACAAAGTGAGTCCCATGTCACTTTTAGAATAAAGTGGGATATGCCCTGAGCTTCTCCCGTTGAACTCTGTACACATAAATGATGCCATAAACAGTATTTATAGGCGAATGAATAGCACATCTCAAGAACATTATGATTAAAATCATTAATACATCAACATATCACAATAGAGAGGATGATGAGTCTTTTAGGAACTAAAGATAAACTTTCCTGATGGTGGTCAGGGCACTTGAGGTTTCCTAATCCTCCTACTCTGGCTAACGCTGCTATCTGGAGCGTCTCAAATGTCCCACCAATATGACCTGCTGCTGCTGAAGCTGCCGCCATCACAATTACTGGGTTTTACAGGCCAAGATCCCTGATACATTCACTGGTTAGTCAGTCAAGATACCCTATATCACACACTCTGTGAGAGTTCCAGAAGTCTGGATTGACTGTTTCCCACATTCAGTGATTCAAGAAGATTGGAAAAAATTGACAAGTACATTATCTTGTACGTCGTCAAGAGTAGTCCAAAGAATGACATCCCATTAATGAGTCCCATCCAGGATCCATTCCAGTCGCTTGCCTGCAAGTGGTTTGGTTGATGCCATTTCTTACATCGTCATTTAGATAGCTAACAATTCAATACACTGGCTTTTTATCTTTCTATGTTGATCAGCTATTCAAAAAAAAAAACCCTCAAAATTTGAACAAAAATTATATTTTATAAAATTTTGAATTCTTTGTTTCTGACTTACACTAGGTTTATTCTAATTTTGTTTTAGGTCTTTGATAGTGAAGAAAAGCAGGATAAGCATCGTGAGTTGAGTATCAGCTTTTAAGTGATTTTAATCAAAGAGTAGCAATATTCCTCGTGCCCTCTTTATGACAAAATAAAATTGTGTTTGCCATTAACTCTGAAATCCTTTATTTTTTTTTTTTATTTTCATTTTTATTTATTTTGAGAAAGAGAGAGAGCATGAGTGGGGGAGGGACAAAGAGAGAGGAAGAGAGGG